TTACAGACTCTTCAATCGTCGAGAAACTAGCAGCTTCGTTTTCTTGTTGTCTCCAGTATTTAGCCAAACACCCCTTCTACCTCGCCTTCTACTATAACATAAGCTCCTTTAAGAATGTTCAAATAAATCGCCAATCACGACGAAGGGAGCCAAATTTCACGACCTCTACTACATGAAACGCACAATTCTTCCAAAAGGTCATTGTTATCAGCACCAAAACCCGTGCGTTAATTAAATTTCGTCTAACAATAAAACTTCTTATCGCAAAGAACAGATGTAACCCTTTATAAAAAACGCAAATTTGACCAGATGTGTTAAAAGCAAAAAAATTAAAACAAAAACCAGTTAATTACAAACAATTACATAAGGAAAAAAATACGTAAATACAAATTCAAGTAAAATAAACTAACTTTGCGTTTATTCGTAAATAACCCCCTAGGGTTACTTAATGAATTTTAAATAATCTCAAATTTTTGGTGTTTAGAAATAAGTCTGCAAGACGTTGTTTACACAACAATACATATAGGCGTTAAGTTCTCTCACTCCAAATCATAAGTAATTAACGTATTAGTATTTACCAAGCGTAAATCGTTACTTTCTGGAAGGGTTCTGAGCGTGCGTGTATTTATTGGTTCTTGACAGCCGTGCGTTTTCGTGCGTTGACCCATTAATCATCATTATAACGAGCTCCTCAAGGTTCTAACCTGGAGACTAATACTCGCACAGACAACCGACAGACCGGCGTGAAACTAGCGACGTACAAAGGCTTCGTATCCTAAAGATATTTTAAATTAGTCAATATTAAGTCAGAGGCACTCTTTATATCTTGATCAGTTAAAAAAGTGGTTTTTAAAGGATCATGGAATAAATCAACCCGCAGTCTCTTAAATCCTGTGGAAAGTTCTTTCATTTCCACATACTGCATAAAGACGATCCATGGTTCCCAATTACTGAAAGAAGTTGAATTGTGGATACAAAAGCAGGATACAAGAACCTTTCATGCAGAAAGGAGCTGTACGAATTTCGGTTTGAAGAACAGCACCACTAAGCAACGATTCAGGAAGTCAAAATTGATTCAACATGTTTCATTGATCATTTGGCGAGAGTGAACACACGTTCTACCCTTCATGGTATTCTAATGAAAGGTCTCACCGAAATGAAGGTTTGTAGTACAAACCATAACTTTCCTGCGCGACTCCTTTTCAAGCTCAGTAGATGGCCGGGAGGAGGAGGGAGGGGGTAGAGATTAATTTTAACCTTATACTTGTGTTTAATGTTTTGTAACAGGTTACTTCGCATACCATAGGCGGAACAAATTATAAAACGTTGTTAGTTAACTTATAAGTTTCGTATCACTATTAATTTTTACGCAGATGACATGAAAGTTGGCGGATAAATCAGCAGAAGACGAACACAAATTAATATGTTACGGTCCTTGTATTTGAGGAAACAACTTAATATGCTTCAAATAAGTGGACTAATCGCATTTCACACGCATGGATCATTAAACTTACCCTATGACCTATTACGCGTAACACTTAGATAGGGAATAGGGTCTTTTTCGCTTTTTGTTACCATTCAGGTCAGCGGATGACTGTTCTTAAATCGGTCATCGCTATTGTAATGTGTAATGTCGATTCCGATGCAGAATTTTAATTGCTTGACATTTCAAGGCGCTGGGCGTCCTAGGTTATGAATTGTTATCCTAAATACTACCTTGGATTTTGCTTCATATGCAATGGGACGCTCTGGTTTGTGAGCTACGTACCGGTGTGCGCGCATAACTACAGATCAAAGTGGCAGATTACACCCTATATGCTTGTCGTAAGTGCAATTACACCTTTATAACGTGATGTAATTATTACCTTGCACATTAATTCCCAATATTCGAAGCAGTAAAAATTACAAAATATATCGGATGTAATTTTAATAGAGCTTTTCCTCTCTCTATGTTGGCATATCGCATTCATGAAGTTTATGAAAAGCAACAGTCTTACAAGGCAACATTTCCCTTTAATTACGAGTACTGTATACCTACCTTCCTAGCTCGTTTGACTTAGATGATTACTGTTGATCAATAGTATGATGTTACCGTCTTCATAATTAACATAAATATTTAGGGAGATTTTTTTCCTTTACGCCGCTCCTATAATTACGAAGTTGAGTCGTCAACAAGATCTTGGGATAATTTAAATAAATCGCCCATACATGCTTGTAATTTGCCAAACGTATACAGCCGCGAAATTTAATTAAAAGTATAGCGAGTTTTGTTGACAGTAACCCTGAATACCGTGTCTCTGTTAATTCTTTAGACCCTGACTGGAGGGTAATTTGTAAAGCAAATTATAAAATTAAACAGACGGGCTAGAGGTACACATACCTACGGCATTAAGGGAGTAAATATGTTACGCACAATATTCATAATTTATAGTTTTCCTTTTGTTTAACTCCAGTTGTAAAATTCATAGCGTTGAGCCGTTTAAAAGTATAGTCACTACAGTATAATTTTAAAAGCCAATTTAACAAAATATATGACAACTTGACGGATTTATTGTTGTACGGATAGGTTTTTAAGGCGCCCATTTCTTTCACTGGTTCATCCATCTTTAAACAAGTCATACTTAGTCAAACCATGGAATATTTTTCATTTGGATGGTTTAATTACACCTGCGAAAAAAATGAATTGGGAAATCTGTAGGCAGACACAATGCTGGCGGTTTTACAAACCTTCTTAACAAATTTAATTAAAGTTGAACAAAAATCTTAATTTAAGCTTGTTTAATGAAATAATTTAATTAACGCATTTAAATACGACATGCGAGAGAAGACCGCGTATTTGTTGTTAACACTTGATACATTGTAAAAGTACTTTCGTGTACGGCAGGTATTTACTAAAGTTAAAATCTGTAACGTTAATGAATTAAAAGGAATTAATTTTGTGAAATGTAATAAAAACCGCAAAAAGCACTTCACATATAATTCGTCACAGAGTTAAGTTAATTAAAATAGGGATGAAGTATTTCTTAGATGCTCTTCGAGGGTACGAGTAATCTGATGTAGAATATCGCCTAATTAACAAGGCATCGACAACAATTGCTGCAGTGACTCCAAGATTCGCCCTGTTTTAACCAAATACACCAGATTAGTAGAGATTGACCTTGGATTGGCCTGCAAACAAGTGTGGCAATATTGTCATTATCATTACTTTTGTGCTAATGCAGGTGTTCGGATGGCTCTTCTCTACGACTCTCTATCTGCTCTTCTCTTTACTCCTTCATATCTGTCTTGTCCTTTTTTTAGGGTATCAACCAATTTCCTTTTCCTTCTTCCTCTTTGCTTTTTCCTTGAACAGTTCCCTCGACTACTTTCTTCAACAAACAATTTCTTTCTTAGTACATGGCCAATCCTTCATTTTATGATCTTTAACTTTTCCTCTAAAATTCTACCTAATACTTCTAGATTAGTTATTGATCAGTCCCATGTTCATCATTCTTCTCCTCATCCACATCGCAATCTTACAGCATCCCTGTCTTTCCTTACTAATTATTCCTCTAATTGTTTCGTACAGTTTTTCTATTTCTTCATCGTCATGCCCATGCCCACTTGTCCGCATGTATTTTGTTTACTCTGTATATTAATGGGCTGCTGCAATAAACCTCCCGCATTCCCTAATTTGGTTTGAGCCACCTTGTCTCACCCACCGTATTGCCCGTATTGCAACCGCCAGTTTTGTAGGGTATTAATTGAGCTATTTAAATAGGATCGCTCACCGTAGCAAATTTAAAATTGAAAACAGAGCAGCGAATTGATTATTGAACTAACTAAAGAATGTAGGTAGTCGATTTGTTGACAAATTGCACTTCACTGGCTACTATTAGCTAGGCAATACGATGGCGATTGCAGCCCGGTATTGCAAACCTCCGGTGTAAGTAGAACGGAAAAATGAAGCCGAAGCTCCAGAGGAGGATAGATTGATAGGCAATCAATACCGCACAAAAGTTTAAGCTGAAATTCTTGGGTTTAAAATATAATGTCCAAAAACGATTTGGGATAACAACATTCCATTCATTCCGCTGTGGTCGCATCTATGTTCCCTCGTATAAGGAGGTTGTGGGAAGAGAAATTGTGACGTATTTATTATTGAAACACATATACATAGTAAAGAAAATTAGTATTGAATTGAACGAAAATACAATAGAGGCGTACAAATGAGGTCCTTAGACAGAAGATAGGTACACAGAATTAGTTCGTTTTACTCTTACTCGTATATTTAATCGAAATTTCAATTTTCTGACATCAGATCAAAGTGGAATACGAATTCATTGTCTGCTGTTCGTTCATTAACTGCTCACTAAATACAAACAACTTTTAAAACGCATGGAACATAACCGTATAGACTATCCAACGTTTGACGTTGTTCTGTGTTTAAACCTTTGGATGTACAATTGGGCTTGATTCTGGTCTTGAAGGTGTAATAATACTCACAAATTTAGCAAATTCTGGTAAATGTAGTTAATAACTGACAAATTTAGTCGATAATTGTTGTATTCATAAATTTAAAACGGGAAACCTAAGGGGCGTTTAATGGAAATTTTTCCGTGAGTTTAAAGTTTTATCTGGTCAGATGTTGATAAAAAGTTGTTATCGGATAAGAATTAATTGGTTTTTGGACAAACAATGTCACGTGTAATGCAGGTGGTTATCAGTTCTGGCGGCGTAGATAGAATTTCGAGTATCGTCGGGAATAACGAAGTTGAATTTATTAGAGGAAGTGGTTTTTGCTTAAATAGCAAAAATTATGTAAGGTTGTCTCGGGTTATTTTGATAGAGAGCGTATTTGTCTGTGGCGCTAAATTTTGGATCCGGGAGTCCAGCCGGCTGCGCAATTTTAAAATAGAAAAACGTAATCGTTAGTATTAGTTAAAGAATGCCAAACCAATTAAATTATTTTCCACTTGGTATCTACGTGTTTGGAACTCGCTGTAAGTTTCTCTTCACCCACAGTAGTATAGTAAGGCCGATCCTGGCTCACTTTACATGGAAAAGTGCCATATGATTGAAGTGTTAGCGTTTCAAGGTCAAAGTGGTGTTGAAGGTCAAAGTGGTATTGCGTAAGTGGGGGGGTGGGTGGATTTCAAGGTCGAGTGTTGAGAAGAAAGGGGTGTATTGTTTGTGTTCTTTGGAGGGGGGTGGTGGTGTCGGTTCAAGGCCGTTGGTAAGAGGGGGTGATGGCTGAGGTCATTGGATTTCAAGGTCGATTGGTGAAAACAAAGGGGTGTATTGTTTGTGTTCTTCGGAGGCTTCAAGGTCATGTGTGGGGATGTGTCTGTCTGAAAGAATGCGTGCCGATGCTGGCTCACTTGAAGGTCAAATCGATTTTGGGTCGAAGCTGAATGCGTGGCGATCCTGGCTCACTTTCAAGGTCGTATCGATGCATTGGTGTTCAAGGTCATGTGGGGGTGTGTCCGTCTGAAAGAATGCGTGCCGATGCTGGCTCACTTGAAGGTCATATCGATTTTGGGTCGAAGCTGAATGCGTGGTGATCCTGGCTCACTTTCAAGGTCGTATCGATCCTGGCCCACTTAGCATTGAAGAATATATGAATAAAGTGTTGGTGTTCAAGGTGAAATTGGTGTGGTGTTGCGTGGTCGTTTCAAGGTTTTTGGATTTCAAGGTCGATTGCTGAGAGTGTTAAGCGGGGTGTATTGTGTGTGATCAAATTGTTTTTCCTGAAGGCGATTGGATTTCAAGGTCGGACGCTGAGAACAAAGGGGGGTTTAATGTTTGTGTTCTTCTGGGGGATGGGGTGCCACTGGCGGTGCCAGTTCAGCTCTGAGAGTGTAAAAAATGGGTTGCGTAATTTTTCGGCTGCCGTCTCAAGATTGAGGGTAAAACGTAATTATTCTTCTTGCCGGCTTCGTATCTCAAAGGCCGAGAGCGCGCCGGGGGTCGAGAGAACAAAGGGTGTATTGTTTGTGGTCAAGGTCAAACGTGGTGCAATTCTTAGGCTATCGAGGGATGGTTTGCGACTTGGAGAGTGGGGGGTGTAATATAAGGTGCTTATTGGAATAGTCATTTGTCCATAATAATAATAATAATAATAATAGAGGAGATGTCAAGAGTAATTGTTCATCATCATCATCAGCAGCAGCAGCAGCGGCAGAAACGGAAAGCTGGTAAAGAAAATTAGAAAATTAAAGTGGGATGTGGAAATTTTGGGTTGTCGGCGCAGTATGGAAAAATTGATGTTGGGAGGCCTACTGGCGATTTGTGGTGAATATGTGGCGAACGGCTGTTGAATGCCTTCATCAAACCTTATTGGTATTACTATCTGATGCTGAGCATGAGGCGGTGTATGGACCTGAGACTTTTAGGGAACAGTGTCAAAACATTGCCCAAAGGTATGAGTTGGGGATTGAAATATGTAGACGCTTTTTAAATTATAAAATATCCGTTTATTGCCTTATGAACGGACTAAACGTGGCTCAGTTGGGTGAATACATAATATGGTGATGAAGAAAGTGACATTTGACGATAGTAACAATCGCGTGTATGTGCTGATCGCGTGGTCATGTGCATATAATGAAGCGCGAAAAGGGCCTTGGATAGATTTCGCTTTAGTAGGAAAATAGAGCAATTTTGTAAGATATTGTCTCTCGTCTTAGCAGAAAATCATCGATCATCGGTTTATCGCACTAGATTTCATGGTCAACATCAGACCGCAATATAATGGTATATATCGCACTGGATTTCAAGGCCACCATACAGCAATGTAATGGTTTATCGCACTCTAGATTTCAAGGTCATCAGCCAGCAATATAATGGTGGTAGAAAACGGTGCCTGGAATCAGTCGAATAGTGTTGACTAATCAGTTAAAATGGATCTTAATCGACTCAACAGTAGCACCTACTGCAAACCTTTCAAGAACGTCAAGGATATGAAGGTTGGTGAAAAGTATAAAGTGATTGGTATCGATCTAATCAATACCAAGTATGGCGATCGAATACTGATCGATACTGAGAACTTTAAGTGCATCCTTCCTTTGCGCTTTTATGAGTACTTCAAGAGCGACAACTGTCTGCAGATCTTCAAGGACTTCTTGTCCAGGGAAGAAGTCTTTATAACAAGCGCTGGAACGGCGGGGAAGACTACTAATTTAACATTTATGTAAAAAAGTTGTAAATGAGAGAGAGAGAGAGAGAAATAATAAATGTTGTTCACGAGAGAGAAATTGGGTCTCTTATTTAAATGCACATCCCACTCTCGAGATCATCTCAACGAAAAAAAGGCTCCAAAATGTGGTGACGAGGATGAGGGCGACGATGACAACATCTATCGCGATATTGAAGATGTGTTAAACTATAAGTTTAACGTAAATTCTCACAATACAGTTTGCAAGATGGAATTATTATACTATCGACCTACTTATTTTATGTATCACATATGTCAATAAACGTACTCTATTTGAGCATTTTTTTTTATTTGATGGAGGCAACTTCTTGCCACACTTCAACAATGTTGAGTCGGAAGCGGAAGTGTACGGATGGGAGTGGCTTGGTTAATAATCTTATAAACAAACTTCCAGTGGAACTACATATTCCTGGCTATCAGTATTGCGGACCTGGTACTAAATTAGATAAAAGGCTAAAGCGAGGCGATCCCGGCATAAATCCCCTAGACGCTCAGTGTAAAGAGCTCGACATTTTTTTTAAATAAACAGCTTTCAAAATAAACAGGCTGTTCCCCCTGTTTGTTTACCTGTTTCCCTTGATCGCATCATCATGGATACTAAAGAGATGGCCTTGAAACGACGAATAGTTCAAGCGCGTAAAGTACAATCGTCACAAAGCGGATCGTTTTATTAAAGAAGTGGAGTTTGTACGAACGTATAAACCGCTAATTCAACCGCTATCCCAGATCGTTAAGAAAATCGAACCGCCGTTAAGGTCATATCGATTTTGGCTCACTCAAAGCTTAATGGGTGCCGATCCTGGTTGACTTTCAAGGCCATGCGGTGTTTGTCTGTCGAGTGTAGTTTCAAGTTTGAGAACAAAAATGTTGTATTGTTTTCGGGTGATCAAGGCGACTTAAGAATGGGTGTGGTTTAAACTAATATATAAGTGTTTGTTGTAATGGGTCTTTGCTCTGAATAATTCAATAATAGGCGAGATGTCAAGAGCCATTGTCCATCATCATCATCCACAGCAGCAGCACCGACATCATCTTTGCAATGCAATGGGGAAAAAAGAATTGACGAACTGTTACTGAAAATTAGAAAATTAAAGTGGGATGTTGAAATGCTGGGTTGTCAGCGGCTCAGCGCCGTATGAAAAAACTGATTTTGTAGTGATGCTTGGACGTATTCAAACTTTCATACAGTAGCAGTTAAGGCAAGGATTATTTCTTTGTGTGATGAGACAATGGCATAAATAAGACGATGATGGTTATTCTTGTGTATCAATTAAGACAATTTGTACTTATGTAAAGTTTGAGTATTAAAAAAGAATGTATAAAGGGTGCTTATTCATTTTGCCCTGACATTCTTCCTTTAGAACCAATTTGTACGTGGTATGATCAAACACGCTTATTTCTTGTGTAGGAATTGCGAGCGAGAGGGTTAAAAAAGTTTGGGGATTGGTGTTTAATGAACGCTCAATTTTTAAAACGAGTACACTGTACCTACCGTGAATAGACGTTCTGCTTGGTATCGCGCATTTGGTAAAAATAGAAAATTATCAGCTCGCATTATGTCGACTTGCGTATGCACTCATTTCATTGCACAGTGATATTCGCCGATTCGCGATGTGTTGTGGAAAATAATTTTGGTGTTTCTTTGTGATAATGATTAATTCGATTAGTATTCTCACTCGAACTCAGGTAGGTACGTAAATATTGCATTTAAAGTTATACCGTGAATGTTTGTGGCAGGTAAACTAAATTAATTAATATCAACAATCGCATTAAATAATCCATGTATTTTCTACGTAAAATTAGCTACATTACATTAATGTTTTACTTATTACTCGTAAGTACCTACCGAAGTACCTACTATTACAAATGTGAAATTAAATTTAAAAAGAAAAATTAGCTATTCTTTAAAAATTGCATGTAATTTATAATAAACTTCATGTCTCGATGCAGGTTTTCATCTTGAAGCCGTGGTGCAGCCAATTCCCGTTCTAAACGCTCCGTCTGGAGTTGGGAATTTCTTTGTCTGGCCTGGAAAATTGTCAGCATCTTCTCCAGACACCCCATTGATAACATCGCCAGCTCTTGGGGTGTGGACGGCTCGTGCCATCTGGGCGATTCATGAGATGGCGGCGGCGGTGGTGGTGGTGGCGCCTCTTCTTGGTCGATGGCTGCTGAAGACGGCGGCGAGACGTGTTCATAAAATTCTCTTAGTAATTGCATATCTTTTTCCCCCCTAGGCAACGGGGCACTGTAACAATAAGAGAAACAATATTAAAAATAGATTATATGTAGAATAAAAGTAACTTACTGAAAGTGATTGTTGCCGCCGTTATTTACAGGTAGCTGTAGTGGTAAATTTGGTTGTTGTTGAGCTGGATTATTTCTGTAACGTAACAATAAAATAAGTATTTCCACATAAACGGAGGTACAGTAATGAGTAAACTTACGGAAATTGATGCATGTCACCCATCGCGGATTGTGGATGTAAAGCTACCATTTCTGACGGCTGCGTTTGAGTATTTGCCTGGGGTAGCGGCGCAGGAATTATAATATGCTCCAATATTTGTACTGATGGATACTGACTGTCTGTAAAACATATATGTATTAGAAATTTTATTTTTTCGTGAACAATAATTTGTACCTTAACTGTTGTTGGTGTTGTTGTTGCTGGCCATGTCTGGGATCTATCACCGGTGGTCTCATGTGAGATGGAGGAATCGTTGTAATTGGAGGAGCGTAAACATGATTGAAATTTCCCTCATATTCTTTTAGAAAATCTTCCAGTTCATTTGTGGTGGTGGTGGTGGTGGTAGCTATTGTTCTATAAAAAATAAAATAATACAACATTAGTATCTATATGGATGGGGGAGAGCGAGAACTAAATTATTATACAAGTTTACAACTTACCTTTCCGGATGTCCTTCTTTATCTTCCGTGAGGAGGTTGATCACATCACCATCGGATAACTTTGTAGGTTTTTCTAAGGCGATCTTTAAGATTGAGCGTCCACCACCCCCACAGGCATTTATGTAAGGCTTCTTACTCGTTGCACTTTTCTTTAAAGTCAACTTGTTGTTGGCGCGTTTGGTTGAAGACATGACGATAACGTGCAGATTAACACTTGTGCTGCAAAATGACTATGACTACCCCTAGGTATATATGTGAAGGTTTTTGTTGGAGTTAGCAAAAGAGGGATTCTGAAATAACATCAAGGACGTTCTCACACACATATCAACCATTGTCCTGACACTTGCACGCTTTTGCAGGAAACGTATATTTCCATGGTGTTTGCAAAATTATAGTGTTAGCAAATGATACCCGTGGAACACCTGCAACCTTGAAGATTCCCAGAAGATAGCAAAGACAGCAGAGACCATTCTACACCTCAGTTTAACAATGATAATATTCTTTAATATACTTGGAAGATGAACTTATAAATGATTTTTAATCCGTGAGATCTCATATTGACGTGGTATCTGTAGGTATATCGCATTTCGTAAGATACGATAACGTATTTCCTGCCGCTCTTGGAATTTGTCGCAGCACCGTGTTTGCAAGCATCTCTTCTCGTTTCAAGGAACTATATAGGATAACAGTTTTAATTATAGGTAGAGGTGGAATCTGTTACAAGTTTAAGCAACAACATCGTTAATCTAACGCGAAATTAAATTAAATTATTGTAAAATAAATCTGATATTGTGCGACATATTTCAATAATCACTTCTAACATACGTTTATTAGAGAAGGCAATTACCAATCACCTTCATAATGAGGTAAATGAAAACCCGATAAGACTCGAAGCGAATTTAGCTCAACTTAAATGTTTTCGAGCGCAATTAAAAAATATCTCGATAAAAAAGGAGGGTTGTGGAATAAACGACATCATCGTGGATAAAAAAATCGGCCCCTACGTGCTCAGGCCTGATACACATTAGATTCTTGTTTCAAAGTCGTTTGATTACCGACGTCATTGTAAATTTCACTCATAAAGATCCTTTAGTTTTTCTAAAACAATCGTGCGACAGCATTGCGCGCAAAATTGGTGAGGCGCTAAAACGTTCAATGCTAAAGGTAAACGTAATTCTGGCATGTAATTTTATCCACCCGCAAGATCTCAATTTAGATTTGAAAACATTTCAAACCAGAAATGCTACAATTGATAGCCGTACCAATCTTAAAAAGTGGTACAAAGAGAACTTTTTTGATAAACTGCAAGCCAAATTTTCCGAACACCGGTCCGGGTGGTGTTTGATCGAGTTTTCTACCTCAAAATCAATATTATTAATTATACTCCTATCAGAGGTGGTTTTTCCGCATACATAAAAATGCCCTCGTTTATACTAGCTAAGAAGGCCGTTGTAAATGTGCGAAACAATGATAAGTTTTGTTTTCTATGATCAATAGTGGCTGCTTTATATCCTGTAACCAAAAACGCTGATAGGGCGAGTAGTTATCCTCATTTTGATGATAAGGATGCGGATGTGCAAAAGGACCGTTTCAGGAAAGGTTTCGATCACTACATATATAATACCGTGAAAACGTGTTTATTATTCTGTTGGAAATAAACAGCTATCAAGTCAAACAGCTTTCAAAATAAACAACTTTCAAATAAGAGCTTATTGAAAAACAGGCTGTTTCGCCTGTTTGTTTACCTGTTCCCTAAAAAAATTGCAAAGTATACTCTGGTCGCTCTACTTTTAGGGAATTAGGATAAAACAAATATAAAGAGTACATTTAGGCAAACTGTTTACCGAAACAATATTACTTTTTATGGTCTCGATTGCAAAATCCATATATTGAAAGCATTCACAGCGACAGTCGTAACATCCCGCACAAGTTCACTTCTACAACCGCCGCATTGTATAATAGTACGGTTCGGATAAAAAAAAATTATTAAAGTCCTCGTGTGAGATCGAAGGGACTTCAGCGCATTTTTGTGTAGCAGATCAGTATTCTATTAGCCACTTTGACTCAACCATCAATAAAAGATCTTGTCGTAGGCTACTACATTCACTTTGTCGGTACCCGCTTCCCACTTTCCGCGTGCACCCCCAGATGTCGCCAACCTCACATCATGTAGCCCTGTCCCTAAGGTTGACAAATTACACGGCCTTGTAGATACACGTACACCCGTTGTCTTTCTACAAGAGTTCTTCTACGCGCCCACATTTGCTGCCAGACAGCCAGCCAGCCAGCCAAAGTGAGATTAAAAGCTACTTTTTACAAATAAATTTGCAAAAATGCGCTAAAAATGCACGTGTTGCAGTGTAAGCAGGTTGCGGCCTGCGCGGTAAGGTGAAGGTTATACCTATACCATATGTGTTACCATAAGTGTTAAATTACGGTTATACTTAAGTTATAGCAGGATACAGCCAAAGGACGTTAATTCATAGTACAATGTGAGGGCTTCCCAGTGCAAACTGTGGATTGCTGCGTATATACGGCGTATCCCTCCGTATTTTTAACAAAAGGGCGTTGCGATGATCTCGAGAGTGGATGTGCATTTAAATAAGAGACCCAATTTCTCTCCCGTCAACAACATTTATTATTTCTCTCTCTCTCTCTCATTTACAACATGATAAGGATGCAGATGTGTCAACAGCTTTCAAAATAAACAACTTTCAAATATGAACTTATTGAAAAACAGGCTGTTCCCCCTGTTTGTTTACCTGTTCCCTTGATCGCATCATCGTGGATACTAAAGAGATGGCCTTGAAACGACGAATAGTTTAAGTGCGTAAAGCGATACAGCAAAAGTCTACAATCTTCTCAAAGAGGATCGTTTTATTAAAGAAGTGGAGTTTGTACGAACGTAACCGCTATCCGAGATCGTAAAGAAAATCGAACCGCCGTCATCATCGGTTATTGAGACGAAAAAGGAGGAGCCAGAGGACGAAGTATTTACATCGCCCCCCTAAAAAACGCCAATCTCCTGCAAAAGAAAGTCACCACTACAACGTATGATCCTGCGATCCCTTATTACATGCGATCGAGACGAAGACCCTCTTCCCTTACCGAGATCAGTCCGCTGGCTAGACTTCCCTACTTTTCAAAATACTACTACTACCAGTGGTGTCATCCGGGGGTATACGAGGGTATACGGTGTATACCTTGCCTTTTTTTTCCTAGAAGCGTATACCATGCCTTTTTGTTAAAAATACGGAGGTATACGCCGTATATACGCAGCAATCCACAGTTTGCACTGGGAAGCCCTCACATTGTACTATGAATTAACGTCCTTTGGCTGTATCCTGCTATAACTTAAGTATAACCGTAATTTAACACTTATGATAACACATATGGTATAGGTATAACCTTCACCTTACCGCGCAGGCCGCAACCTGCTTACACTGCAACACGTGCATTTTTAGCGCATTTTTGCAAATTTATTTGTAAAAAGTAGCTTTTAATCTCACTTTGGCTGGCTGGCTGGCTGTCTGGCAGCAAATGTGGGCGCGTAGAAGAACTCTTGTAGAAAGACAACGGGTGTACGTGTATCTACAAGGCCGTGTAATTTGTCAACCTTAGGGACAGGGCTACATGATGTGAGGTTGGCGACATCTGGGGGTGCACGCGGAAAGTGGGAAGCGGGTACCGACAAAGTGAATGTAGTAGCCTACGACAAGATCTTTTATTGATGGTTGAGTCAAAGTGGCTAATAGAATACTGATCTGCTACACAAAAATGCGCTGAAGTCCCTTCGATCTCACACGAGGACTTTAATAATTTTTTTTATCCGAACCGTACTATTATACAATGCGGCGGTTGTAGAAGTGAACTTGTGCGGGATGTTACGACTGTCGCTGTGAATGCTTTCAATATATGGATTTTGCAATCGAGACCATAAAAAGTAATATTGTTTCGGTAAACAGTTTGCCTAAATGTACTCTTTATATTTGTTTTATCCTAATTCCCTAAAAGTAGAGCGACCAGAGTATACTTTGCAATTTTTTTAGGGAACAGGTAAACAAACAGGCGAAACAGCCTGTTTTTCAATAAGCTCTTATTTGAAAGTTGTTTATTTTGAAAGCTGTTTGACTTGATAGCTGTTTATTTCCAACAGAATAATAAACACGTTTTCACGGTATTATATATGTAGTGATCGAAACCTTTCCTGAAACGGTCCTTTTGCACATCCGCATCCTTATCATCAAAATGAGGATAACTACTCGCCCTATCAGCGTTTTTGGTTACAGGATATAAAGCAGCCACTATTGATCATAGAAAACAAAACTTATCATTGTTTCGCACATTTACAACGGCCTTCTTAGCTAGTATAAACGAGGGCATTTTTATGTATGCGGAAAAACCTCCTCTGATAGGAGTATAATTAATAATATTGATTTTGAGGTAGAAAACTCGATCAAACACCACCCGGACCGGTGTTCGGAAAATTTGGCTTGCAGTTTATCAAAAAAGTTCTCTTTGTACCACTTTTTAAGATTGGTACGGCTATCAATTGTAGCATTTCTGGTTTGAAATGTTTTCAAATCTAAATTGAGATCTTGCGGGTGGATAAAATTACATGCCAGAATTACGTTTACCTTTAGCATTGAACGTTTTAGCGCCTCACCAATTTTGCGCGCAATGCTGTCGCACGATTGTTTTAGAAAAACTAAAGGATCTTTATGAGTGAAATTTACAATGACGTCGGTAATCAAACGACTTTGAAACAAGAATCTAATGTGTATCAGGCCTGAGCACGTAGGGGCCGATTTTTTTATCCACGATGATGTCGTTTATTCCACAACCCTCCTTTTTTATCGAGATATTTTTTAATTGCGCTCGAAAACATTTAAGTTGAGCTAAATTCGCTTCGAGTCTTATCGGGTTTTCATTTACCTCATTATGAAGGTGATTGGTAATTGCCTTCTCTAATAAACGTATGTTAGAAGTGATTATTGAAATATGTCGCACAATATCAGATTTATTTTACAATAATTTAATTTAATTTCGCGTTAGATTAACGATGTTGTTGCTTAAACTTGTAACAGATTCCACCTCTACCTATAATTAAAACTGTTATCCTATATAGTTCCTTGAAACGAGAAGAGATGCTTGCAAACACGGTGCTGCGACAAATTCCAAGAGCGGCAGGAAATACGTTATCGTATCTTACGAAATGCGATATACCTACAGATACCACGTCAATATGAGATCTCACGGATTAAAAATCATTTATAAGTTCATCTTCCAAGTATATTAAAGAATATTATCATTGTTAAACTGAGGTGTAGAATGGTCTCTGCTGTCTTTGCTATCTTCTGGGAATCTTCAAGGTTGCAGGTGTTCCACGGGTATCATTTGCTAACACTATAATTTTGCAAACACCATGGAAATATACGTTTCCTGCAAAAGCGTGCAAGTGTCAGGACAATGGTTGATATGTGTGTGAGAACGTCCTTGATGTTATTTCAGAATCCCTCTTTTGCTAACTCCAACAAAAACCTTCACATATATACCTAGGGGTAGTCATAGTCATTTTGCAGCACAAGTGTTAATCTGCACGTTATCGTCATGTCTTCAACCAAACGCGCCAACAACAAGTTGACTTTAAAGAAAAGTGCAACGAGTAAGAAGCCTTACATAAATGCCTGTGGGGGTGGTGGACGCTCAATCTTAAAGATCGCCTTAGAAAAACCTACAAAGTTATCCGATGGTGATGTGATCAACCTCCTCACGGAAGATAAAGAAGGACATCCGGAAAGGTAAGTTGTAAACTTGTATAATAATTTAGTTCTCGCTCTCCACCATCCATATAGATACTAATGTTGTATTATTTTATTTTTTATAGAACAATAGCTACCACCACCACCACCACCACAAATGAACTGGAAGATTTTTTCTAAAAGAATATGAGGGAAATTTCAATCATGTTTACGCTCCTCCAATTACAACGATTCCTCCATCTCACATGAGACCCCCGGTGATAGATCCCAGACATGGCCAGCAACAACAACACCAACAACAGTTAAGGTACAAATTATTGTTCACGAAAAAATAAAATTTCTAATACATATATGTTTTACAGACAGTCAGTATCCATCAGTACAAATATTGGAGCATATTATAATTCCTGCGCCGCTACCCCAGGCAAATACTCAAACGCAGCCGTCAGAAATGGAAGCTTTACATCCACAATCCGCGATGGGTGACATGCATCAATTTCCGTAAGTTTACTCATTACTGTACCTCCGTTTATGTGGAAATACTTATTTTATTGTTACGTTACAGAAATAATCCAGCTCAACAACAACCAAATTTACCACTACAGCTACCTGTAAATAACGGCGGCAACAATCACTTTCAGTAAGTTACTTTTATTCTACATATAATCTATTTTTAATATTGTTTCTCTTATTGTTACAGTGCCCCGTTGCCTAGGGGGGAAAAAGATATGCAATTACTAAGAGAATTTTATGAACACGTCTCGCCGCCGTCTTCAGCAGCCATCGACCGAGAAGAGGCGCCACCACCACCACCGCCGCCGCCATCTCATGAATCGCCCAGATGGCACGAGCCGTCCACACCCCAAGAGCTGGCGATGTTATCAATGGGGTGTCTGGAGAAGATGCTGACAATTTTCCAGGCCAGACAAAGAAATTCCCAACTCCAGACGGAGCGTTTAGAACGGGAATTGGCTGCACCACGGCTTCAAGATGAAAACCTGCATCGAGACATGAAGTTTATTATAAATTACATGCAATTTTTAAAGAATAGCTAATTTTTCTTTTTAAATTTAATTTCACATTTGTAATAGTAGGTACTTCGGTAGGTACTTACGAGAAATAAGTAAAACATTAATGTAATGTAGCTAATTTTACGTAGAAAATACATGGATTATTTAATGCGATTGTTGATATTAATTAATTTAGTTTACCTGCCACAAACATTCACGGTATAACTTTAAATGCAATATTTACGTACCTACCTGAGTTCGAGTGAGAATACTAATCGAATTAATCATTATCACAAAGAAACACCAAAATTATTTTCCACAACACATCGCGAATCGGCGAATATCACTGTGCAATGAAATGAGTGCATACGCAAGTCGACATAATGCGAGCTGATAATTTTCTATTTTTACCAAATGCGCGATACCAAGCAGAACGTCTATTCACGGTAGGTACAGTGTACTCGTTTTAAAAATTGAGCGTTCATTAAACACCAATCCCCAAACTTTTTTAACCCTCTCGCTCGCAATTCCTACACAAGAAATAAGCGTGTTTGATCATACCACGTACAAATTGGTTCTAAAGGAAGAATGTCAGGGCAAAATGAATAAGCACCCTTTATACATTCTTTTTTAATACTCAAACTTTACATAAGTACAAA